TAAGATTTGAGGAAAGTTAGAGCTTCTCCTTTTATTCCATAAAGTTCTAACTTCCTCAATAGAATTTGATGATGAACAGTATCAAATGCTTTTTTTAGATCAATTAAAACTACTAGGTTAAACATTTTTCTGTCTAGATTCATATACCAATCATTGGTACAGTCCAGTAATGCAGTTGCTGTAGAATGAGATTTTCGTAAACCGAATTGAGAATCGCTAAGGAGTTCAAATTTTGTTAAATAGTTATACAGTTGATCATACACAATTCGCTTCATAATTTTGCTAATCGCGGGTAAAACTGATATTGGCCTATAGTTTCCTGGAATATTCCGTTGGCCATTTTTTTACAAAGGTATTACTCTTGCCATTTTCCATTCATTAGGAAAGGAGGATAGAGTTATAGCCTGATTGAAAATAAACGTCAATGAGTGTGAAATAGCTGGTGCAGCTATCTTAATAATTTTACAGGAAATTTTGTCAATGCCAGTGGCTTTATTTTGTGGAAAGCCCATGCAAGAGACGACAGACATGAGTGACAGTAACAGGCTGGAATGCTGCAAATTCTGATTCAGCAGTTTTAGTATATGTTCCAAAATTATAGTTTGAAGTATCAATTTTGCTAGCTAAATCATGTTCAATATTTGAAAAGTAATCATTAAAGCCCTCTGCAATATCTTTGGGAGTTGTAAAAATTTTCCCCCCTAGATTAATCTCGTTCACCACTGTTGGTTTGTTTTGCCTTCCTAATAAGTTGTTTATACTTTTGCAAGCTTTTTTAGGATTGAATTTTTGACCAGCTATTTTTGAGGAATAGTAATATTTTTTGACATTCCTTAGTTCTATGTTTACTTTGTTTCTAGACGTTTTATAATCAAACCAATCATTTTCTAGGTTTGTTGAAATGGCTTTTCTTTTCAATTTGTCCATTGTATTAATAAGTTTCTTTATATCACTTGTAATCGAAGGGACTTTTTTAGACCGGATTTTTTTTCATCGAAGTGGTGCATGCTTATCTAGGGCTTCTACGAATATTTTTTTCCAAATCTCCCACATATCTTTTGGGTCTTCTGCAAACAAATACACTTGTTCCCAGTGCTGTTTGAGCAGTTCTGCAACAAATTTTCTTCATTAAAATTTTTCATGTTTCTCATCTCAACTATATTCTCTTGTTTCTTTATAACAGAAATTTTCCTGATAGCAAATATCAAACTATGATCACTTATACCTGTGTGAATGACACCAGAATCAGAAACTTTTTCTGGTGTATTAGTAACCATATGATCAATTAGACTAGTAGTTGTCATAGTTACTCGAGTAGCTTCATCTATCAGTTGTGATAACTGATATAATTCATACAAAGACTTTATTTTCTTTGTTGGTATGTTATAATCTTTATCTGGTCTTAGCAAATCACAGTTTAGATAACCCAGAATGTACATTTCCTTATTTTCATTATCTATAGCTTTGATCAGTTTTTCAAAAAGATCAAAGAATGCTGATAATGCACTGGGTGGTCGGTAAACTGTCGTAACAACAAAAGGTTTGCTATATGGCTTAATAATTTCAACACAAACAGCTTCCAGTTCAGAAGGAACTAGATCATGTCTTATTTTGTAATTGATGGAGCTACGCCAGTAAATTCAAACTCCACAACCATTCCTTGATCTATCTTTTCTGACAATATCATAACCATCAAGGTTAATCATATTATCTGTTATATTCGCATCAAGTCGTATCTCATTAAATGCAATCACATCAATGAACTTTTTTGACATTGAAAAATTAGTTTCATCTATTTTTTTAGGTAAACTAACAATATTCAGAAAAGCCATTTTAAAACCTCTTTCATTCGGGATTTAGCTAAGGGTTCTCATAAAATCGCTGCTCACATTGCCACTTGTTATATCTAATCTGCTTTCTGTTTCATCACTTGCTTTACATGGGCCAGATACATTGTCCAGTCTTTCTGGTGCCCATGACTTTGTCGAAAAAAATGGCTGTCATTACAACTTGAAGCCATGTTGGTGTTTCCAATTCTATCAGACTTCAAGTAGGTGCAGAAAGTGTTGGATGTGATCTCATTTACATTTAGTTTATATATATATATATATATATATATATATATATATATATATATATATATATATATATATATATATATGATTTCGATATTTTTTGTTGAGTTTTTTTCTCAAGGTCTTGCTTACTTTATTTCCTTACACTCGTGAGCTCACTACGTGATCATAGTGATCAAACGTAGTGTCCAGGCCTTGTGACCCTGGATGGACACTTAAAAGGAAGGAAACCACACTGTAAACGTAAAGAATTTTATTCATTATTGATATTAAAATTACATAGTCGTGTGTACTGTTCGTTCGTCTACGGCCACGACCTCTTCTATTTCTTCCCATCTTCGCACACTATTTCAAACCTAGGAGAAGCATTGTAAGACCAGGGTTGTCTGCCAGTTATATATACTTTAGGCAATTCATAGTGCAACAGGTAGAAACGAAGGGTAATTATGCCACCAACAATAAGGTTACAGGTGTTTAAGTAAACAATTAGATCATTGCACTAAAAGTGCTCAAGTTAATTTAATAACGAGCATATATTATGCTCGTTCGGGGTACCACGTTCTTGAGCACTCTATAGTTCATTGTATAGACTTATGCGCGCCTCGTACTTAGCGAGTGTTGCTGCTTTGTCGAATGTCAAACAAAGACATAAAAATATGAAATCTATATATATATATATATACAATTTTTAAGATTAAATAAATATATATATATATATATATATATATATATATATATATATATATATATATATATATATATATATATATATATATATATATATATATATATATATATATATATATATATATATATATATATATATATATATATATACATATATAAATATAGGGTTATCGTTGTAGACCGATGTTCAATTAGGGATAATTAATGTAATTGTTTTAGTTTACTGATCTGCACACATGTCATGGCGAATGTAGTTTGAACGTTTTGTGCCGTCAATAAAATACTTATTTAATCCTTAATATATTGCCTCTATCATGAGTCAAGGGCAAAATGCAACAGGTTATGGGGCCAGAAGAGATATTCCTGGGAGATATGGGAGACTTTTGTTCGATGGAGATGAGAGAAAGTACGAGCAATGGCAAATTAAATTCCTTGGCTACATGCGATTGCAAAAGTTGAGAGATACAATTGTGGCATCCGACGAAGATGAGGTTAGTGACGATAAGAACGCAGAAGCTTTCGCGGAACTTATCCAGTTTCTTAATGATAAAAGCCTCTCACTGATTATGAGAGATGCTGTTGACGATGAGCGAAAAGCATTGAAAATCCTAACAGGACATTATGCTGGAACTGGTAAGCCAAGAATCATTTTGTTGTATACTGAACTTACATCCTTGGTAAAATCACCGCATGAAATGGTTACTGACTATGTTATAGGGGCAGAAACTGCAGCGGCACCCCTCAAAAATGCTGGTGAGAACGTAACCGATAGTCTTTTGATTGCTATGGTCTTGAAAGTTCTATCAGAAACTTTCAAGCCCTTCACTGTAGTAACAACACAAAATGAAAAGAAACAGACATTTAGTGACTTTAAAGGAGCCTTACGAAGTTTTGAGGAGACTGAACGAGCTAGAGCAAGCAATTCTACTGAGGGAGACTCGATTTTGCAGACAATTAATAGACATAAACAAGATTCATTCGGTATAAAGGACAAGAAATTTTGCTATTCTTGTGGCGAACCAGGTCATTTTGCTCGTCAGTGTCCAAATAAAGGGAAACCCAAGGAGAAATTATGGTGTAAAACTTGCCACAGTTCCACACACAATGATAACACTTGTCGTAAAAATAAAAATAAAGGCAAAAGCGAGAACAATAAAGCTAACAAAGCTTTGAATGTTGAGCAGGGAGAACATACATTTGCATTTCAGATTAAAGCACAGCAGGTTGTTAGCAAGATAAATGTAGAACCCCCGAGCAAACGTCTGGTGAATTGTGGTGCAACTACCCATATTATTACTGATCAATCCAAGTTTTCCAGCATTGGCCAAACATTCAGACCAGAATCACATTACATTGAACTACAATCCTGGACAAAAGGTTGTGGACAACCCACAGAATTTGGCCTCGAAAGGCGTTTTCCCTAAATAATTATCCCCCCGCTCCCCCATGCCAATGTTGAATGGGATTTTTCATCAAATACGAAGTGTGGTTAAGTCGGATAAGCAACATTGAAGAGGGGGAGTGGGGGATATGCAAGTAAATTCAAGTTTTAGGTGTTTGTCATGATTTTTGCAAAAGTGGATTAAGTGTCCACATGAGTTTTGGCCAGGATTGTCTGAAAATCACCATAGAAAATAATAGACGGTTCTTGTATCTAATATGACACAAAAAGGCAAAAACTATGCTTTGTCAGTAAAATTGCGCTTGTTTGCATCTCAATAATCCATTCCTGACCATCTTTTGAAAAAAAAATTGTCCGGTAAAGACACAGATTTCCTAACCAAGAAACGCGCCCAACGAGCCTAATGTTTAGCAATAATTATGTGACGAGAATGACAGAGTATATATTGTACTAGTCTCAAGTTTGTTTATGCATTCCTGAAGTGCTTGAGAATCTAATTTATACAACTAAATGACATTTTTCATACAAGTATTATAATTCGTTAACTGCAAGTGTTGCCGCTTACGATATATGCCAGTACGTTTGTATGTTTTAACTATATATCACAGCTTCCTTCTGACAGTGCAATTTCAAGGTGCATCTAAAACTTGCTGAATACCATGTTTGACAGAAACCTATATGTACATGATTTAATTAAGGCAAGAACTAAACATCTGAATTATATTAAGTTACAGGGCTTTGCTATAGTTGTTAAGTTGATATGTTATACGTTCCCATCGAGTGACGTGATGTGTAACATAATATTCAAAGCTCGAAACACGGTCTACACTTTTTTTTGCAGTGATTTTAGAAGTATATAAGCGCGCAAACGATTAAAAATATAGATTAGAAGGCTTGTCCAATTACGTTTTGCACCAGTATGCAGCAAGACATATAAAATCAGCTATGCCTTAAAAATCGCCACGGTCTACACACAAAAATCGTATTTTCATGAATACTAATGAGCTATGATCTATTATATTCAAAGAGCTACTTTTAATATGTAGACCGTGGTAACTTTTTATTGCTTTACTGTGTAAATTATGAAAACATTTTAATAACAAGTACAATATGTAGGTAGTCTCCTAACAAAAAGATCGTTACATTTCAATGCAGTAATTGTGTATAATTCAAGTTCGAAGTTACTGTAGACCGTGCTATAGTTGGCGCACAGTATTCGAAAGTGTACGGCAATATTGCATTCTTTGACAAACTTCAATTGTAATATAATATTTACAAGTATATATAAGAGAATTGTGTGTATTTACTGGCCGTAGCTGTATCGAGTTCGCGTACCAGTTTATGATAGACACTTATCTTTGGAAATGCTACGAATCTTCAATGTCAAATTATATTGCCTTTCAAATGGCGAAAAAGGTTAACATGATATATTTCATTTTGAGTACTGATGCTTTTTTATTTTGATATTGCAAGGTTCTAGATCTTGTCATTGGCGCGTAATATATTAGGGCTGTGTATAAAAATATAGGCTTTTCTTCAAAACTACAGGAGTCGTTAAAATCACTAAAAATATGCAAAAGTACAATAATTTATTCAATGGAATAAGGTAATTGCTACATAGCTTGAGACGTTCTGGAATCATACTGAAACTCCGTACAGATATGACACTGAAAATTTTCTGCACCGTCAATTTCTCTCCTACTAAAGCCTAAATGCGCTCCTGGGCTATGTATCTGAACAGTAAAGTCGGTGTACCTTCCATGTATAAGATTGAGAAAAAGTTATGCTAGCACCTATTCAGTATAGTTGGTTTTACGCACGCTTCCCACAAATTAGCTTATATTTACAACATCCGGAAGTGACGTAATGACTAATTGTGACGTCATCAGCTATCAAACTGTATAGCAAAAACTTAGAAAACATAGGTAAGTGTTATAGTCTCATCAGACATATCGAATGTTAACGAACAAGTGATAAAACAGCGCTTCTCCATGCTCATCATTTTTCAGACAATCCTGGACAAAAGGTTGTGGACAACCCACAGAATTTGGCCTCGAAAGGCGTTTTCCCTAAATAATTATCCCCCCGCTCCCCCATGCCAATGTTGAATGGGATTTTTCATCAAATACGAAGTGTGGTTAAGTCGGATAAGCAACATTGAAGAGGGGGAGTGGGGGATATGCAAGTAAATTCAAGTTTTAGGTGTTTGTCATGATTTTTGCAAAAGTGGATTAAGTGTCCACATGAGTTTTGGCCAGGATTGTCTGAAAATCACCATAGAAAATAATAGACGGTTCTTGTATCTAATATGACACAAAAAGGCAAAAACTATGCTTTGTCAGTAAAATTGCGCTTGTTTGCATCTCAATAATCCATTCCTGACCATCTTTTGAAAAAAAAAATTGTCCGGTAAAGACACAGATTTCCTAACCAAGAAACGCGCCCAACGAGCCTAATGTTTAGCAATAATTATGTGACGAGAATGACAGAGTATATATTGTACTAGTCTCAAGTTTGTTTATGCATTCCTGAAGTGCTTGAGAATCTAATTTATACAACTAAATGACATTTTTCATACAAGTATTATAATTCGTTAACTGCAAGTGTTGCCGCTTACGATATATGCCAGTACGTTTGTATGTTTTAACTATATATCACAGCTTCCTTCTGACAGTGCAATTTCAAGGTGCATCTAAAACTTGCTGAATACCATGTTTGACAGAAACCTATATGTACATGATTTAATTAAGGCAAGAACTAAACATCTGAATTATATTAAGTTACAGGGCTTTGCTATAGTTGTTAAGTTGATATGTTATACGTTCCCATCGAGTGACGTGATGTGTAACATAATATTCAAAGCTCGAAACACGGTCTACACTTTTTTTTGCAGTGATTTTAGAAGTATATAAGCGCGCAAACGATTAAAAATATAGATTAGAAGGCTTGTCCAATTACGTTTTGCACCAGTATGCAGCAAGACATATAAAATCAGCTATGCCTTAAAAATCGCCACGGTCTACACACAAAAATCGTATTTTCATGAATACTAATGAGCTATGATCTATTATATTCAAAGAGCTACTTTTAATATGTAGACCGTGGTAACTTTTTATTGCTTTACTGTGTAAATTATGAAAACATTTTAATAACAAGTACAATATGTAGGTAGTCTCCTAACAAAAAGATCGTTACATTTCAATGCAGTAATTGTGTATAATTCAAGTTCGAAGTTACTGTAGACCGTGCTATAGTTGGCGCACGGTATTCGAAAGTGTACGGCAATATTGCATTCTTTGACAAACTTCAATTGTAATATAATATTTACAAGTATATATAAGTGAATTGTATGTATTTAATGGCCGTAGCTGTATCGAGTTCGCGTACCAGTTTATGATAGACACTTATCTTTGGAAATGCTACGAATCTTCAATGTCAAATTATATTGCCTTTCAAATGGCGAAAAAGGTTAACATGATATATTTCATTTTGAGTACTGATGCTTTTTTATTTTGATATTGCAAGGTTCTAGATCTTGTCATTGGCGCGTAATATATTAGGGCTGTGTATAAAAATATAGGCTTTTCTTCAAAACTACAGGAGTCGTTAAAATCACTAAAAATATGCAAAAGTACAATAATTTATTCAATGGAATAAGGTAATTGCTACATAGCTTGAGACGTTCTGGAATCATACTGAAACTCCGTACAGATATGACACTGAAAATTTTCTGCACCGTCAATTTCTCTCCTACTAAAGCCTAAATGCGCTCCTGGGCTATGTATCTGAACAGTAAAGTCGGTGTACCTTCCATGTATAAGATTGAGAAAAAGTTATGCTAGCACCTATTCAGTATAGTTGGTTTTACGCACGCTTCCCACAAATTAGCTTATATTTACAACATCCGGAAGTGACGTAATGACTAATTGTGACGTCATCAGCTATCAAACTGTATAGCAAAAACTTAGAAAACATAGGTAAGTGTTATAGTCTCATCAGACATATCGAATGTTAACGAACAAGTGATAAAACAGCGCTTCTCCATGCTCATCATTTTTCAGACAATCCTGGACAAAAGGTTGTGGACAACCCACAGAATTTGGCCTCGAAAGGCGTTTTCCCTAAATAATTATCCCCCGCTCCCCCATGCCAATGTTGAATGGGATTTTTCATCAAATACGAAGTGTGGTTAAGTCGGATAAGCAACATTGAAGAGGGGGAGTGGGGGATATGCAAGTAAATTCAAGTTTTAGGTGTTTGTCATGATTTTTGCAAAAGTGGATTAAGTGTCCACATGAGTTTTGGCCAGGATTGTAGGTTGCCAAACTCTCTATTTATTATAACAGTGCAATTTTATAGTTTGTACCTTTACATAGTTATAGCTTACAAATCTAGTTCCTGCAAGTCTAGTTTTTCGACGCTTCGGTTGTTGACATGTTAATATTGGAATTTCCATGGACTTTAAATAAGGCATATGACATATATACCAAGAATAACAGCATGAATTCACGCCATGACAGAAGAATATTAACATTAGTCAATTCAACAAAAACAGGTAACAAAAAATCGTAAACGACAACGAAATAGCACAACTTGCAAGAAATCGTACAAACTTGCAAGAAATCGACGAAGAACTGCCAGACGTCTCGCATTTCAAGTGCACTCTTCCCAACACTCCAACAAGCCCCTCGCCATCTCTCCCCACTAGAATACTTCATGTAAACCCATCCTATGCGCATCACTGTTTTTTTACAAAGAGACGCCTGGGTACGAGGCAGTATTTCAATAATGTTGGACGGACGTTTGGCGGATAAGTTCAAAATATAAAACAAGTATAGGATAGACAATGATCACGCGTGTTCA